TCGAATGAACTCATCATGATGATTTTTTTTCTTTACTTTAAACAGGTCACGTTGATTGATCAAAGGAATCATTATTGCATTCATGCGCGCGACATTTATACACGCGTCGAACACTCTAATCATCCACATAAAGCATGCCACAGACACCAAGACAGTTCCTGATTCAACTTTTAGGGTCTACTCGGAAGGCTTTCAATGAAGCAAGGATCTTAAAGGACCAACTCATTCCATTTCTCTCTAACAAGGTCCCTAACATTGATTTAGTCCTATCTAGCCACATCCCTCTGCCATCTTCCTTTTCTCATATTCAAAAAGAAAATAATTACTCACTTTATGGTGAACGATGCGATGATATTGATGGCTAAAAGGAAAAGAAAAAAAAATTAGTTAATGTTACATGATGGAAAAGAATGATATAACTTAATCTACTGTTATCTTTTTCTTCATTGTTCAATGTCTAAAATTAGAAAAAAAACTGTAAAAAGAAGTTCACTTACTTGAAAATTTAATACCTTAAATAAAAAGAAAAGTAAAGAGTCAAAAACAGATCAAAGGAGGACTTATCCAGCATCCTTATGATCCAAAAGTAAAAGAAATATAAAGAAAACTAATGCGTACATCTTTTATATTGCATTTTTTTATATTGAATTGTTCCTTATTGTGTCTTTGAACCCAACCTAAAACACAAAAGAAAAAAATTAGATTGCGTAGGTGATTCAGAAATTTGAATGATTTTTCGAAGAAAATCACTCATACTTCTACTCCTAAGATAGTTAGTGGAAAAAAATTCAATTGATTCTTTCTCATGGGAGAGTGATTAAAAGATGAATCTACTTATTTTTTTCATCGGGACACACACATATATTGAGGTAAATTCAATCACAAACGTCTCAATGTATGTGTATCAATCAAAATTAATTAATTAACATATTAAGTATACATGGTATCATTAATCATCAATGATAATATGAGCGATTAGTTATGGATAAGAGAGAGAGAAAAAAGCAAATTCCTCCTTCGTCCTGTTTCGGATGTGGATGATTATTTTCTCTTTTCACTCCTATCTACTCAAACCCTCATTCACACTCATGCCCGCACCCTGGTGTTTTGTACCCATATCGATACAATTGGAAAACAACAGAATGAGCATATAATGAAGTCATCGTATATTAAAATGCATTAAATAATTAAAAACAAAAATGCAGTATAGTATAAATTTACGAATAGAAATTTTCAACATTTTGGGGTTAGTGCGGTCATCATCAGCTTCATATATATCACTTATGACCTTCACCTAACTATTTATTGTCAAAACAAACAATAATAGCTGGAAATGATGCGACACCAACTAATCCATAAACATTAACAGATACATATATATTGATGGGTGTGAATGAGCTTAACTAAGGTATAAATGACTGTATTTAAACCAATATATCATATATTTCAAGTATATAAGTCTGCAATAACAATAATAGTAATTTTACTGGATATGAATGTGTGGATGAAGAGAAGATCAGCATCCACAACCAGAGGCCTTACACCCCGCACTCCCTTCCACAGCCAAATTGATCTAAAAACAACACTAAATTATGCACTACAGAGAATAAGAAATTATTAATTGATGTTGAGGACAATATGAATGGAACACAAGACTATAGTACAGATAACAGATACATTAATTATAATGACACATGTTCAGCTCTTATGTGAATGAAACATTCTAATCAACTACAACAGAAAAAAGAGAAAGTTACCAACAATTTAACATTTAAATATGAACCAACTATTAATGTTATAGAAGAAGAAACCGAATTACAAGAAGATAAACAAAACATGTGAAATGAAGCACAAAGAGAAACTAGGGCTACCTCTGCTTTATTCCAATATCATTTGGATACTAAACATGAAATTCATTGGTTAAACAGCAAGTTTATTTAAAAGACAATAATGCAAAACAATTCTTCATTAAAGAATCATTGGTAGCCAAGGTATATGAACTGAACTCAAATAGAGCAGCTCATTCGACCTCACTATACGTTTTCACCAAAGGATTTCATAAAAATCTCTTACTAGATCCTAATGGCTAGTTATTATTAAATTTGTTTCTTACGTATTATTTGTTCAATTTTCTTTTCTTTATTTGTGAGGTTCTCTTTAGAGGATGTTATTAATTAATCTTTATTTTCTTTTTACGTTCAGTCAATGACGCGTTTCTTCCGATTAATTGATCTTTTGCTGAGAACTCACGTAATGAGTTAGTTTACCTTATGTAGGTATGTGATTATTAATGATTTGGAATGAGATCAATGATGAAATCAGTTTATTGAAGAATAAGTAGTGATAATGTAAATAACGGTAACAGAGAAGAGATAACTAAAAACAAAACAAAACAAAAAAAAACCCATGGATAAATATAAGGATAGCCCTTATATATCCAAACGAGAAACTAAACGACGCAATAACGAAAAACACAGCAAAGCGAAAAAGATCACATGATCTCAATCACGAGAAGAATTATCCATATCAAATAGAAAATAATAAAAAAGTATTTCAATGATATGGATAAGTTAGCGTCATGGAGTGACATCTAGTGATGCTAACATTACTCTTCTTTTTCTTTGCTTTGTTCTCTTCTTCTTTCCCTGTCATCTTTCTATATTGTTTTCCTTTTTTCTTCTTTATAACATTTCTTTACTACTTAATGTCTAAAAATTAAGTATTTACAGGAACTAATAAATATTGTCTCTACAATTTTATAATATAAACCAATATGTTAATTTAAAAGTTGTATTCGTACAATGTTGCTATTTCTTGACAATAGCAATTTACTTAGCCGAGACATCAAAAAAGAAATTACTATTAAAATAAATAAAATTTATTTATTTTTAATCTTACTAATTCAGAATGACTTTAAAACTGTTGTTATTTGTAGTTATCTACTTAAATGATTGCCCTCAACAATATCTAATTTTAAAGAAAGAAAAGCTAAATAATAGAAATAAAAAATTAATGATGGGAGTGCAGTATAGTATAATTTTATGAAAAGAAATCTTCGGCTTATTTGATGTCCATTGATATATGTGTCTATGTGTTAATGTTCTTGGATTAGTTGACGTTGTATCTTTTCTAGCTAGTATTGTTCGTCTTTGAAATAAATAGTTAGGCTAAGGTCATAAGCGATATGTTTGAAGTTGGTGATGATCGTACTAACCAGAACAAATTGAAGCTTTCTCTTCATAAATGTATACTATACTGCATTTTCATCATCTATTGTTTATCGCTATTATTCAAGTTTTCTTTCTTTAAAATACATTAGCTCGCCAGCTTAAAACAACTTGTATGGATACATGCGAAGAATAAAAGAAGAAACACTCAATGTTTACGGTAATTATCACTATGAAATAATGTTTAATGTAATTTCATAATGTCAGAATTTGTTCAAGATATAATATAACTTAATCTGCACAGAATTCATCTTTGTAGTGGTCGACATTGCGAAAGTAAATTCTGCCATTTTCGATAGTTTCATTATGTCATACAGCAATCGATATTGCAACCTTACAAAACTTTTGCCACAGTCAAAATATTTTTTCCTTGTCTCGTTTTAGGATATTTCTGTGAAAGAAAAGAGAAGCCATTTCTTTATTAATATGCGATGGTTGCTCGAGCTGCAAAAATGTTATTAAGAATTTTACCGATGCTTAACTGATTGCTCCATCAAGGATATTTAATGATGTCTGGAACTGATCATCAACATCTATTGATAAAGCATCAGATTGAACAGATAATATTCGTACTCATATAAGAGTTATGGCAAGTAACTAAATCTGTGTTTTATGTTATAAATTATCACTCTACTATTAAATATAGTTATTTCAAAATACTGAAATAATCTTGATGTGCATTTTATTTTCATACCAAAATGCACAATATTAGAAAAATACCCTGTGAAGTGCAAGATAGAGATCTAGCAGGTCTGATAATGGAAAGACTTAAATTTAAATATATTGTCAATGATAACCATAAGAAGATGAGTTTTTACAACGCAACAGTAGATATTTCTGTGCCTAGACATAAATTAAAAATTGAAATAATATGCAGCATTATTCGACAGGAGATAAGACGGCTCAACAAAGAAGGACCAGAGATAATTAACATTTTATTCGCGTCATTTTTAAAAAAATTTTTATTGTCTTATTTCTACTCTTTCTTTCTTTCTTCTGCTTTTTTTTACTAGGAGAGTTTCCTTGAGAACGTCGAGGGTGGGAGTGTGGGAGTGTGGATATGCACATGCTGAAAACGTTCATGCTCGGATACCGACGTAGAATAAATTGTCTTTCCTTTTTTCTTCACAATATCATGGACAGATGACTCGTTTTTGTCGACGAACACAATTGTGAGTCATAATGCACAATTGTATCTCAATTTGAGTGCAATGGAAAGCATAAGATATTAATGAAAGATACTTGCCGAACAATAGATCTGTTTCTAAGAAGAAGAATCGTGTTTCGAGTAGAGAATAGACTCAACAGGTACTTCTGTCAACACTGGAGCCAGAACGTTGTCTATTGAAACTAGAACTGCTTTTATCTCCGTCAATCGTTCGATGATAAACTTCAAATTCGCAGAAATAAGAATCTAGCTAAGTTAACAAAAATATATCTACCACACTTTCATCGCAACATTATTACAATATGTAATGTGGCAAATGTTTCGACGCAGGCAAATTTGTTCTTTTTCGTTTTATATTGCCTTCCCGTGATATGGTTCCAAACACAGCGACGCACAGGCAACAGCAGATTTGTTTTTCTTTGTTTTCGAAAAAGTGTAGATAAAAAATATTCAATATTTGGTTTGATTTAACACGTTTCTTAAACGGTGAGAAAGAAAACATCTGGAAAATGATCTGCGGACCCCTTTTGAATCATTGATCATATAAAATGGTGATCATTAAAACATGAAAAGCTTTCATTTGAAAGAAATCGAGAAGAGAAATAATGAAATATTTGATAGCGCCCATTGTAGCTCTTTTCATTGCTTGGAGCAGTGGCGCACCATCGGTCCAAGAATTCGTCGACCAAGTTCTCTCCCACGTTGACAATAAAGTTGATGCGATTGAAAATAATCCAGCACTGTTTGATCGAATCTACCGATTCTATCAGCAACAATATCCTCGTCAATCAACTGCCAAAATCATCGATGTCGATCAGGCCAAACGAGCTCAAATCTTCAAATCCAATCTAAAAGCAGTGCTCACTCACAACTCTGATCCACACTCGACATTTAAATTAAAAATCAATGCAATAAGTGATTGGACTGATGAAGAATCCGACGCATTACGTGCTCGCAAGATGATTCTTGGTCCCGTCAATAACAATCAACTGGTTCAATAACGACAAAAGAAGAAAGTCACTGTTCCAGATCAATACGACTGGACAAATCAAACTTGAGTTCCCAATGGGGCCATCCATAAAGGACGTTCTGGTAATAATGGCTTTTTTTGACTCCCCTCCCTCTGTCAGGACTTGTCCGTTTTCGAGCCCCTCTCCGGGACGTTCGGTTAAAAATTTTTTCAGAAACTCTTTAGTTATTCATGCATATAACTTTTTAGAATCAACCTCAGTTTATTAAATTTATAAAAAAAAGACATAAATTTAATTATTAATATATAAAGAAAATCAAAACAAACATTTCATAAATAATAAATAAAAATAGAATGTGTTCCATGTTGCTCTTATATATAAACAGCATGCTGTAAAGCATAAAATAGTAAAAAAACGAAAATTATTTTCAATATCAGTAGGATTTGAAATATGCAAGAAGAAGCGTATTACTGCTCTTAAAAATAACTAGCTGCCCAAGAAGCATAATCAGCAATTAATTCAACACCAGAATCATTTTCAGCTGATTTATTCAGTTCATTTGATACTACTATTTCATCACTTGATTGTAATTCTTGTGGTACAACTAATAACTCATCATCTGATTCAAGTTCTGGTGATGGTAATCTTTCTATACGTTATTTACGATGTATTTTATTATGACTTGTATTGGCTGCTTTTGATGAAAAATATATACCACATTTTTCATATGTTCGTTGTGTTCACTTCTTTTCAACTGGTGGACAGTAATAGTCAGATGGAAGTTGTTGAGACGTTGAGTTTGGCTGTATCTGATTAAATACCAAACGTTGTAATAAGCCTTCATATGAACCTAAACTTGTATTTTGATCATCGTAACAAATTCTAGCATTTTTTGTTTCATATGGTATTGGTTGGGGTAAAATATCCTTCTGGTAAAATTGATTTCAGATTGGTTCTTAATGTAACACAACAATTATTATCATCACATTAACTATTTGTAAGCAATATTGTGATTGTCGAACGTGCTTCAATTTTCATTGTTCATTTTTGATCAGTTATTTTATTTGGATTTGATGATGGTTAAATGTATTCTGCAATAACTGCATGTGCATCAATGGCTGTATTTCTCCAAACTTCAGCAAAATACTTCTAAACAACAAAAGCCGGTATTAAGAAGAAAGTTCATGCAAAGAAAACTTATATTGTGACTTACCACCAGCACGTTGAAAATTTTGTTGTTCTAGAGCTATATTAATTGTTTTTCCATCATCATTTAAATGCTTTCCGTAATAATCATGTGGTAATATCAAGCCAGATAAATCATGACTTAATGGAGCCATCCGACGTTCAATCGGATTAAAAGCTGAATGACCTGGTGCTTTTATGGCAACAAATAATACATTGAAACTATTTCACATAAATAAATCTGAATAAAATTGTCTTCCTTTAGGAAACCTAGGGTTTTCATCAGGTCTTCCATCAGTAAATACAATAAAAATTGGCTTGGTTTCATTATTGTCAGTATATGAGTATTGTTTAAATTCATCTAATGATAAGCATTTTGATAAATCCGCTAAATGGGTGAATGCTGTCGAGTGATCATGGTTGTCAGATCTAATACTAATAAATGTTGGACCACTATATGATAAATGTTTATTTTTAAATATTAGTGCACCATATACTGATGGGATAAGCTTGTGTTGTTCAGCAACAACAAAATCATAGTCAGGTAGTTCAATTCGGTACTCTGGGTATATTAACAATGGTGCTTGTTCCCTCGACTGAAGGGAGGGTCATATGAAATAAAATGAGTTGGTATGTTTGATTGCTTGTATGTTTACAATCACGTGTTAAGTCACGTGCAAACAAATTAACTAGTTACGAACCGCTTATAAAGCTTGACCATAGGTAATTGGAGTCGGAGAATCCGAATCCATAATTAGTTTGTCGAAATTTTGAGTCTGAATTTTTTTAAACAAAGAAAGACTTTTTTACGAAAAAAATGATTTTTTATAAAGTTTGACCGAAGGTAATCGGAGTTGGGGAATCCGAATTCGAAGTCAGTTTTTCAAAATTTTGAACTAATTTTTCGGTAAAGCAATAGGTTTCAGAGAAAATAATATTTTTTATAAGGCTTAGCCGAACGTGATCGGGTCGGAGAATCCGAATTTGTCATTAGTTTTTCAACATCTTCAGTTCTGTTTTTACGGGCAATGATAGAATTTTTCGAGAAAATGACGATGTTTCATAATAGTTGGCAAAAATAAATCAGGGACTAGAAATCTAAATCTTTAGTCGATTCCTGTAAATTTCCGGACTATACTTTTATAATCAGAGAGAGGTTTTCTAGGAGAACAATGACTTTTCGCTGGAGTGAACATCGAGTAGTATGAAATAAAATAAGTTTGTGATGTGGCAGTCATTGGAAGTGTAACATATTCAGACGTGTTAGGGCGATTACAGATTCGATAATCTCAGTAACGGGAAATGTATATGAGTTTTTTTCAAGGTGTGGGTGTGAGACAACAAGATCAACACACCCATCCACATACCTATGTCTAGACCGCACACCAACCCTCATAAGTACCACTGATACTCAAATTCAAGTTTTAGCTGATTCAACATTATCAGTATTTAAGTCTACTTGCATTGCAACTTTTCGGACTTCGTATTCAATTATTCGCCTTTTTCTGAGCAGAAGTTTTGACTAATGGAATTTCCCACCACTGTGACTTGTAGATGTTAAAATAATCAGGTATATGAAAATGAGGGCACATCTTTATCGTTAATAGAGAATAACCATCTATTGCTTAAGTGCGTTCAAATAATGGAGCGACTAGCCGTGAGTGGCGCTCCAGAGGGGTGCTGACGAACGACTAGTCCCTCCTATTACAAGTTCATTGTAGATTCACTTCAGAAATGACCTATATAAAGGCTAGGTTGTTTTTGGAGAATACTACACTAAGATTCTCTTGATGAGGAATTTCAATAAATCTCTGATTGGCTAGCTAGATAATGAAATTAAAGATATATAAGCAATAGTTAACAAGAAAGTTTCGGCTTTAGATTTTCTCATCGAGAATTTTCGTGTTAGAGATCTAATGATTTTTCGAATTAGCGAGGAAAGGTCCTCAACTGATCAACTGCTTTTGCGTTGAGGCTATGTGTATTATGTAGGCACAAAAGAGTTATGAATACCCTGAAAAAAGTTCGGCTGCTATCTTATTGCTACGGAGATACTGCACTTTTACGGTATGTTTTTAAATGAAAGTTGTGGCCCTCTTGAGGAATACCAGAAAAAATGATTTTCGAATTTCGACTTGAAACTTTACATATAAACAGATCTTACCGAGAATAGTACTTTGTAGAAGTTTCTGATCTTTTTGCTGTTGCTATCCGTAGATACAACTATGATAACGTCGTTCAGATAAACCAAAAGATTTGATGTTCTCATTTCAGGATAAGAAAACATAGAAAGATCTGAAAGTTTCACAAATAACAATTCTCGGTAACATCTTTTTATATGTAACGTTTCAAGTCGAAATTCGAAAATCATTTTTTCTGGTGTTCCTCAAGTGGGCCACGCTTTCATTTAAAAACATACCGTAAAAGTGCAGTATCTCCGTAGCAATAAGCTAGCAGTCCGAACGTTTTTCAGGGTATTCATAACTCTTTTGTACCTACATAATGCACATAGTCTCAACGCAAAAGCAGTTGATCAGTTGAGGACCTTTCCTCGTAAGTGAAGTCTAGAATCAGATAGGGTTTAAATTAAAGAGGATCATCTTATGCCCAAATAGAATGAGGGAGTAGTAGCAGCTAGTTGCAATTAAATGTGTATGGTCTAGATCTGACCAATTTTCAATAGGAACTAGAACTAGCAACAAATCTAAGAAGTATTTTCGAATGAAGTGTGAGAGTAGTTGTGCTGTACCTGCACAATATCTGAATAGAAAATTTGGCGGTAAATATCACGCAAAGAATTCAGATTCACTCCATTCGAAGTAGATTTGAATGAAATAAAATGAGTTTTTCCGCTGTTGTATTCTTGTCTGTGTGCTTTCAAATGTCTACATTTATTCGGATGTATTGATATTAACTGTGTAATCCGATGGCTACTTTGATTAAGGGTGTCACTTAAGTGGTTTAATCTGACAACAGGTATGATCAAATATAATTTATTTGAATCTAGAAGCCGAGCTAAGCTCGTATTTTGGTATCCGATCCTAACAAATGACATTGTTAGTTGGTATGCTAGTAGCTGTGCAGACCCCTTTTTAGAGTTCTTAATGTGCATGGTCCGTTTCCACGCTAGTGTAGCGGATGTGTTTTTATTGTGATCCTCTCAGTTTATTGAAGATAATTTCTTTTCTCAGAGCATGTTGATACTGCTGCCTTGGCGTGGCTCATATAGACTTCCGTTGGATATTGCTTTGTGGGTGTCGATTTGACCGAATGAATTTATGACAAAATGTGTCACACGGACACGCATAGCATTGAGCACAACGAGACTGATGCGGATATAAATATCCACCATCACACGCAACCTTGCTCAAACGTTAGGTACCAGTTTTTTTAGCACCGTAAAGCAATATATAATACTAAAGCAGTCAAATGTTCAGTCGAGGATCAAGCGAGTCACACAGACGAGCGTTACTTGTAATATATTCTTAGAAAATGTACTATATATAAATTTAGAATTTGATTTTGTGTGTTTCTTATTCAGACTGTGTTATATAAATATTAATTAGATCCAAAATAATTCTCGATGGAAAATTTATTATAAACAAACTTCGAAAATCAATAGTGTTGGTTTCAATCTCATACGCTACTGATTATTTAAAGATTATTACTTAAAATTAATTTATTGTCCAGAAACGCAACTTATTTTGTTAGGTAATTCAAATTCGATCAATCACTTTATCATCACGATATACTGTTCTTTGAAGATCGGATATACGAATATATAAATTTGGCTTATATAAATACCTGTCAAACAATGTCATACATATGCAATTATTATTAAGATCATAATTTATGGTTGTCAATATTTTTTATGATAATGTTGGATTTTACAATCTATTGTTCATCTAATATCAATTCATTTTACGCCTTAGGTGCCTTGGCTTTGTAAATCATTTGGATGGCATGGGTGTGAGTGGTGGGTGGGGTGTATGGGTAGGGTGCGGGTGTGGGTTGGTGTGGAGCGTGGGTGTGGGTATGGTTGGATGTGGTTGAATGTGGGTATGAAGTGTGGGTCGATGTCGGTGGGGATATGGATTGTGGGTACAGATGGGAACGCATTTCTACCTACACTGACACCCACCCACACGACACTGGCACGCCTATACCGACATCCACGCTCACATTCATCCACACGCTCACCCGCACACTCATGCTCACACTCATACACACCCATAGCCACACCACACACTCGCCGACGCACTCACCCACACCCACCCCACCCTGCCAATGCTCTACAGCAAAACCATGTAATATCAGCACTTTCTCACTATCTCATTCGCTTAATATGTCAAACAGACACTCACCAGACTGAAACTCTATTGAAATGAAATCAGTGCTCAAGGAGCACAACATCTTTCCAATGCTCTCTAAAAATACCGAGTAATATTCCCAGCTTTACATTCTATCGTTCGCTACCTATTTTTGTCAGACACGCATCACACTAGACGTCAGTGGAAGTGCAATCTGTAATCAAGGTGTGTGGGTACGGATATAGGCGCAGATTTTGGTCTCCTTCTATCCCATAACTATACCCCACAGTCACACACAGGTGCCATCCAGAACCATATTGAGGATCAGCTTGAGAGTGCATTTTAACTAAATCTCACTGTGTATAGACTCAAAATGTTTGGATTGCTCTTGTCAAAAGCCAAATATTGGATGGCCTACTGCTCGTTTCAATAATATAACATTTTATGAAATATAAAAAAGTGAGAAAAGAAGCAGTAGCCTTGAAAAATGAATCCTTTTTCTCTTCTTACAATCAACTATATCATATTACTATTGGCCTAAGTTAAATCCTAGTGTTTTACTGTATAAAACATCAGTAATGGCACACGTTATATATTATATGCCGTGCTAAAAAGTGGAAGGCACGACGATGCTGTGATTGTTACGAAAAGCAAATGGGTCTGTATGTTGATTGTTCGCATCTACATTGTAGATGTAGACTATTGCTAAGCAATGTTTACGACGAATGAGAAACAAAACATGCTCATATCTCATAATCATTGCATGTTTTGCAATGAATCGGTGACCATCCTCGTTTTCATATACAGCTCCGTTTTTTATTTTTCGTACTCTTTCCTTCTTCAATCTCACTCGGTTCTGAGTTAGATGGACACAACAGGTTGCACCATATGTACTACATTGAGTGAATACTTATAAAAACTATCGGCATCGTGAAAGCTTCGTAATAAAGAAAGAGGTTATAATGAAGATGATATGAACAGCACTTTTTGCTTTTAGCTGGATATCTTCTTTTCCAATGATCACAAACAACTAAGGACATCCATTTTTATCATTATTTTTAATTGTAAAAACTCCTTTTAATTTAAAAACAAGGTGACTATCAGTGTCTATATGTATCCATGCCCACACAAAAAAAGTAGATATTTAGGTGAAAACAAAATAGCAATTTTAGATTTGATGTCCGTATAATCCTCGTCTTGAGTACTTTTATTATGAAAGTTTTACAATGCCCGCAATTGTTCGTAAGTACTCTTACTAAGATATCTGTTGCGTGTTTTTTTTCTTATTCTTTTCTCCAATTTCATTCTCTTCCGAGCGAAACGTACACGATAGTTCGCGTCGTAATTATTTCACTGAGACATATACACTATCGCTTTGTTTCTAAATTTCTATTTATTTCCGATATTATTGCAAACAACGGCTTATGATGCGTTTCAACTTTACTCATTTCGTACCATTTTACTATTGATTTCGAACATAGTCCGTAATAAAAAAAACGTCTTCTCTACTTACTTATAACTGATTAGGAAGGTTGCATTTTTCTGTAGCCGATTAGAATCGTTTATGAAATTAATTGATTTGATTAGACTAGAAATGTTGGATTCATCCTGTATTACTGTTTTTACTTTTTAATCGATTATTATAATTATAATTCGATTCTTTCTTGTATTGGTAGACAATATTGGCATGCTCTCGTCTTATTTTAATTTTTTCAGATCATCAAAGAGAAAAGTATCTTAAGATCTGTTGAAGAAAAAATATGACTACATTATATCTTTATTGTCTGCTATTCATTGTCAGTGGTTGCATTGAAATGTTTTCAACATTTAATCCGTCGGACAAGCTTCAAAATGGTGCTATTTTGTATCAAGAAGAATATTTACGTTCTACAAATGAAGCGTATTATGCTATTATGCAACGTGATGGTAATTTTGTTGTTTATACATCACGAGATTTCAGTCCAGTAAATGCCCAATGGAGTTCTAATTCTGCTGGCAAAGATCAACAACCATTTCATTTAATGATGCAAAATAACGGTAATTTGGTCATTCGTGATGTGAACAACAAAGCGATATGGAGTACTCATACGGCAGGAATAGGTGCAAAACCTCATCACCTTATTATGCAAATTGATCGAAATCTTGTTCTATATGATGGCAATCATCAGCCCATATGGGCATCAAACACAACAAAATGGTGATGAATAAATAGTTCATTTTATTTTCAAAGAATAATCATGAAAAAAAAAGATCTGATAAATAAATATATAATTTCGTAGAAGATTGAATGGAGAATGTTTTGGAGAGAAAGCATTCAAGTGTAACCAACCAATGCTAAAGGGGCGCATGTGGATACGACTACAGCCACTTGTGATCCATATCCCAACGATGAATCTATCTAGCTTCTCATGAAGGGGTGGGTGTGGGGTGTGGGTGCAACTGATTCTAAGCTAAAGAAAGACCCACACGTACAACAGTATGCCAAAAGGCTATCGATTTACTGAAAAAAAAAAACTTCTCAAGACTATCGGCTCGTCCTGCTCAGTTAAGGATAAACCTAGATAGAGAAAAGTTTGGACCTTCTCATTGGAAAAGTCTTGGCTATGTCCTTGGACGAGATATGCGCGTGACATGCGAGTCTTGTTAATGTCTACAGATCCTAACTGCTTCAGCGTTCTCATTCTTACGTAGAATCCATAAACAATCATTAATTTCTTCTCATATTACTGCATTTATCTGTACACAATCTTTTACAAAGTTATTTGCTAAGCCTGATTAGCGCCATTCAATAGCACAATTAAATTTAAGTGCAAAAATAAAAATGGACTGTAAAAATTTATACATAAGTCATTTGAGGATAACAAATAAAAAGATTTATGGTGAACTTAAGAGTTCCGGCAAATCAATACCATCACACGCACATGTACCACATCGAAACAGTACATGAAGGTAGAGAACACGATTACACCTGATTTGAATACGTCGATTGTGTGTATACTTTTCTTGTTATTTTAAATCTTACATAAGAAAGAAAGTAATAAAAACTAGGTGAACAAGGACTGTAACACGTAGAAGAGAAGAAGCCAACATATACGCTGTTTATAACTTTACACACTCCTTGTAAATCATATTGAAACAAATTTATGACAGCGTCGATACGTGTGTAGCAATATTGAATAGGTAAATAAATAGTATCTTCAACGTATACTAGGAAAAAAATTTTTACATCTAACTATTAGTAGCGTGACTATTTGAATTTGTCATCGTTTTTTAAGTTCTTTACTATGGGATCTTGTTGTAAAAAACATCAAATATCTGTGTCTGTACTTGAACAAAAGAATAACGTCGTATCCACTGAACTACAATCATTTCCAATTACTTCTGATATTCCTACGGCATCTTCAGAGCGTCGTCATCGTGAAAATATTGAAAATTTTCTTCTCATCTGGTTAGATGCATCACTAGATGAAAAAACGACAAGGAAAATAAATCTAAAGAACAACTGCAACGTGTTATCAATAATATTGAAATGTTTTCTGATCCTCGTCTTTGCATATACTTTATAAAAGAAGCCAACGACGAGTAAATCATTTTAGTGATCTCTGGCTCATTAGCTGAACGATTGATGCCAGAAATTCGTTCAATCAATGTGCTTTATATCGTTTATATTTTTTGTGCTCACGAGGCAAAGTATCAACGATTGATGCAAGATTATCCGAAAGTGAAGGGAATTTTCACTCAAGTAAAACTTTTGTGTGGACAATTGAAAAAGAATATAAATGAAGCTGAACATGATCTTATTCGTATTGAGTTTATTAATCCAAAATTGGGTATCAACAATAGGCAAGAAGTCTCATTCATGTATGCACAATTATTTAAAGAAATTTTGCTCGTGTGGTCGGATCATGATGGCATTATAGCTTTCAAAACAATGATTGCATTTTGTCGAAATCAATATCAATTTAATCCTAGTGAACTCGAATTAATTAATGCATTTGAAAGTAGTTATAATCCATCGCAAGTAGTTTGGTGGTATACACAAGAATGTTTTTTATATAAAATGCTCAACAAAGCACTTCGTGTTCAAACACATACAATTATTTACACATTTCGTTCATTTATTCTTCATTTACATACGCAACTCAAACAACTTGCTACTACTCGTAAAGAAACGATAGTGCTCACTTTGTATCGTGACCAAAGCCTATCGAATGTGGATTTCGAAAAATTAAAGAAAAATCACCATGGACTTCTTTCGTTCAATGCGTTTCTTTCTATCAGTGCGAACAAAAATGTCGCTCTGAATTTTGCTCGTCAATCTGCAGAAAAACAAAGTATAATAGGAGTGCTATTGTGAATTAGTGTTAATTCAGCAGCAGAATCAAACACGATCTATGCTGACATTCAGACACTTAGTTATTTTGGTACAACAGAAGAAGAATATTTGTTCGGAATGGGAGCAGTTTTCCGCATTGAACAAATTGAGCGTCTTGACGAAGGACTCGTATGTGTTCATCTCACTTTGACGAATAAAAGTGATCCAGAGCTGAATCTATTATCAAAATATTGGAAAGACCAACTAGTGCCAGAACAAATGACATTCTTACCAAAAGCAGCGTGTCCGTTTACTCTTGCTATGACATTATCCTCACTTATGTTCATAACGAATGAACCGGAGAGCGCTTCTGTTTTTCAAACCATAGGAGCAATGTATCAATGAAAAAATTCCTCCAATATAAAGGAAAAATCAGGCGATCCTCTGAATAAAAATCTACAGAGAAATGTAAATGAACTTGGTAAACTTCAGGAGCAGCAATTAATACACGAACAAAATGGTGATTCTGATGTTTTGCTAGCATATGACAAGATCGGTGATATTTACAAGAAGCAAAAACAATGGGATCTTGCATTGGAATATTATCAACGCATCGTTACTGGTAATTTTTCTGGTTCTCCTCCAAACCATGACCAACTCGCTTCAGTGTACAATAAAATGACCGACGTTGACAAAGCTCAAGACAACCTACAACTTGATTTTGAGCATATAAATTTGGCTATGCAGAGTGCAATGGTGGTTGAAAAACCAGATTTCGAACTCATTTCAGAAATAATGAGACCGAGAAGTTATCTTTTCATAGATACCAAACAGTTTGATTCTGCTTTACTCTGTCTTCGTCACATGTTGGAATATCAACTGAAGGTTTTTCCACCGATTCATCCTGGCACTGCTAACACATATAACAACATAGCACTAGTTTGCTTCAAACAAAAAAATATCAGGAAGCACTCGATGTTAACCGTCGAGCGATTGAAAATGCAAGTGCTTCTTTACCATCGGTACATATTATCCTGGCAACGATGTGTATGACCGCCGCAGAGATTCTGGTTGAGCTCAAGCGATACAAAGAATGTTGTCAGTACATGATCAAAAGGGATAGATATTGATATGAAATTTTTTGGAAGTGAAAACGAGATGGTCAAGGAAAAGATACAACATTTTGAAGCTTTTTGCGCAAAGGCGCGGAACCAGCAAGGGCAATCATCAATTAATTAAACAATTGCTGCCAATTCAAATCATTAACTGAATATTGATTCTAACATAAGACCATGAAAAAGACAAAAACTATTGTCGCCTTTCTTCAATTACTGCTAAATAAATAAAGTTCTTGTGACAGCTTGTATGAAAATAGCGAGAATTGCTCTAGTATATAACGTGCTATAAACAAATCAAAAATGATCTTTTCCTTAATAACATTCAAAATGCCATATTCTCAAACAAATCACCATCGAAGAAAGTCTTAAACCGATAAATGAATGTTTATTAAGATGATGTTTCAAAAAGACGCAACTTTCTTCTGTGCAATATGCTAGCAGATAGAGCATCGATAGCAGAAGAAAATCAGCTATTGAAATTATTACCTATGATCTATTTACTGAGTATCAGTAGTCCAACATGAGTGAGAAAGGCTACAATATGTACCGTAAATTCAGAACGATACATACTTGACAGTATGTCTGCTGTGATTCTAACAAATCAAAAGGCAGTACGCCAAATATTTAAGACACGGTATAACTTTTGATTCTCTGCACCAGGATAAACAAGTTTTGGAAAAAAATCATCTGTGAAGTAAAACGAAGCTCTCAGCTCTCTTCATTACAACGATTTTTTGATGAATTTTTAAAAGAAACAAAACTTTTTGTAGTGTTTTACATCGTCAAGACAAGATCGAAAATCAAAACAATTGTAACATTCGAAGTCATAGTTACAAACTAGATCGAATCAAATGTATCTAAGGGTTTGTTTATAGACCTTCTCCTAACGATCATGCACAATCGCTCGAAAAGGATGTGACTGTGGGCGCTACAAGGATATTAACAGAGACACCAACACCCTCAAAACGACACCCAAACCAACAATTACATCCAGTATCTATATGTGATCCAATATACTTAAGTCACATAATAATCACTAGCAAATTATCGATTTACCCGATTCTTAGAAAACAATAATTGCAGATATTTAGCGTATTTCGATAATCAGTACCTGATAATTGTAATGCGTATATGCGCTATACTAATGAAAATTATACGATTAACTAAATAACATATTGTTATTGTGTAGAAATTCTAAACCAAGAAAGCACTTTCCATTACGCATAATAGAATCTCAAGTGACGAAACGTGTAAAAATCTAATTGAGAACTTTTCTTATTGCGAATACGAATGATGGTTTAAGATGTATTCTCACTGCATCTTGTTACCCATGTCTCAGCGCTACGGTAAACCATTAAAACAAGTATATTTCTCTGCTAATAATTGATAAGTAGGAAAAACGGGATTTTCTTTTATTTGCTGTAGTTTCAGATAAACATTATATTTACTTTTTCAAAGAACTTCATAGTATCATATTTTCTAACATCATCAGCAACAGTACTATATAGTAAGTTATCCTATCCACCATACACATGACTCCTCTTGTCTCAAATAATATCCTATTAAAAATCTTTTCATATTCTTTCTTTAAAAAGTAGAAATAAATATACAGCAGTAACATATCTGATTAATGAACAGAACTAAGTTGTCGTCTCTACTTATTGCCTATAATTGTAAAACAACAAGTTTGGATTTAGTTATTTTATCAAGTCTTAAAAAGGATCGTTTCTAATTGTATGCTTTTTACTCTTCATCAGAGAGAAACATAGTTTTTTGATTGTAAGATATTCGAAATGATTTTTCTTTTGTTCTGTATTCTATTTCGGTCCAGCTCATGAAAGAAACAAAAAAGACACCGTCTTTTACTCTCTCTCATTCGATTACTTGTTCGTTCTTTCTTTTTTGAATATTTTTTTTCTGTATCTCATTTAAAGAATAGTTACCCCTGAGTTAGCTATCAGCTTGAAGTTCAGCTCACAATTGAAATTATTATAAGAGACTAGATATGAATATTGCATATTTTTATGACATGTAGAAGAATAAGTTCACGTAACTCAAATAAATACCTCTTATCAGCACAATCCTGCAAAGTAAGTGGAAGAATACTACAGTTGCTCTGGGCAAGACTTTCAATTAGTTATACAATTAATTATTGGTCTTCAATAAATAATTGATAAAATGACTTGAGATCTGGATAGTCAGAATTGTTTCAAATAAAAATAGATTGTGTGCAGTGAATCGAGTAGAACAATGGCTAGTAATTGCGATACGAATGGTAGTTTTCTAGGCATTAGAAACTTATTAGATGATTACTCATTCTCCATTTTGTCTCTACATAGCCTTTAAGTTGATGTTGATATTGCAAGATATATACTTCTGACTATAGATTATTCATCGCTTCACCTGCATGCACATATGTATTGTTTATGATAATTAAGAATTCACCCATCATCTAATATCTGAGAAAGAAGAAATGAAAACTAATACTCTTCAACCATATAGAATAGTTGGAGTAAAAAAAAAGACAGCTCAAGCAGATGAGATTAGATTTTGATTTTCCAAAAAATGCATAGGAAGGACAAGTTAAACTGAAAAAAACGATATTGTTCTAAGAAGTACAATAGGTTTTCTTAGAGTAGCCTTTTTTCAGGATTCAAAAATAAACATTCATAATGTGCCGATAGTTTATTTCGAGCATTTTCTTCATATGACAATGGGCGCCATCATCATTTTATTCCTATGGATAAACAATCAAATTGTTGCTTGAAATAATAACTCTTAGAATAATTCTAGAAATAGAAGAACTCGATAATGTCGATTATTATATGAGCAAAGTTAGTTGATGAAGGTTAATCAAAAAAATTATGAGAAAAAAAACATTTTCGGGTATGGAATTTCGAGATACTATACATTTGTCAATTAATCCTCTATGCGAAAAGTTTATAAATTTTTACTAAGTTTTCATGTCAAAAACACTCAAGTCTATGTCTTTAAAACATAACAAAATGAGTCAGAAAAAAATTTTCTTCTTCGATTGTTTCCAAGCGTTCTTAGTGACTAATCAAAACATTTTAATAGCTTATCTCCAGATGTTTAAATACCATTTCAACCAACACCGTGTTTATCTAAATATAAAACTATCATAATACACGAAGTAAGAAACTTGTTCTTGGAATATCTCAATTAATATTGATACCATTGTTGAACATAAGGTCTGATAAGTGTTAAACGTTCCAGTGCATTTGAATATAAAGTCTAGAACTGGGTGTGGATATTGTTTTTCGCTTCATTCAACCCCACACGTGCCTAGTTTTGACTAGAATTTTATGCTGTTTCGAATGAGGCAGCGTGTGAGTAAATTTCATTATTGTCAGAGAAAAATTATCTCTAGTTTGCCTCTCCTTGTTTCATTCTGTTTTTACTTCTAAGCTTCCGACGAAAACAACGGCTTCATTCTCATAAGAACAATCATTTTCGTCGTTGAAAAGATGACTAGTTCGTAGAGAAATGAATTCTCTACAAACCTGCAGTGTCCAAAAACACCTTAGATACTACCGTATTTGCATAAATCACAGAATACAACAAACCTTATTCAAAATTAATACAGTTGATATATCTATGAGAGCTTAATACTCGTCACTTCCTACCACGAAACAGTTGATAAAATACTGTTTCCTTCACAGTTTTTTTTATTCTTTTTGAGATGATGCTTTAGAAAGTCAAGAATCAATGCAAAAATCAAACCGAAATATCTCATTTTGTCAAGCATTCCGAGCAAATTACTGATGTGCTCGGGAAACTACCCCTAATTAACTACTTTTCCGACAGTTAGTGGAATGAAAATTTGTTCAGCGTGTAGAGAAAAATGTGCTCTTTCCATTGGTATACTATAATGGTTTCAAATCAAAAAGTTGTAAAGCTAAT